CAAAAACAAAAACAAAAACAACAAAAAAGCAAAACTTGTGAAATTCTCTTCTGTCAGTTAACAAAATTAATTGTTGCAAACACAGGCCATCTTTATTTTACCATTCTAACTTACATTCCTCTGGAAACACCAGCCACATTATTGGTCTATTACATCCTTTGAAGCAATGCTTGTAAAAATTAAGCCTTTCTACATGAACAATCTCCTGCCACAGTGGCATATCAGCCCACAAAACCAGATACCTTTTAAAAGCAACTGAAGTGCCCCCTCTTGGACAAGTAAACTGAATGAAAAGAGTGCTACCAAAGAGCAGGAGTGAGACCAGATGACTTAAGTGTATGCAATAATTCATTTCTGTGTATGTAACAGTTTATTCCTGAACTAAGTTTCAAAACAGAACCTTTACCATGTAATGTATTAATCTTTCCATATAAACTGTCCTGAGCTCACACTCGGGGGAATAGTTATTATTCTACATTTGAGGTTTTCTGTCCTGCAAGGCATGTTTTTATAAAGATTACATGCAGGCAACAACCCACTTTTTATGCAAGATTTGAAACAGCCTTTCATGTTAAAGCAAAGTCTTTCTGTCCTGGAGGGTTCTAAAGAGAAACTGAACAGCATTATTAAAACAGCAATTTTGTTCAACTGTGTTTGTTCCAATGTTGGCAGCTTTGTAAGCCTTGTCAGGAGACATATGATCTAATGACAAATAGTCTGCTGTCAGGATCTGGAAAATTACCTGACTGTCCACTACACTTTGAGCATTTTACTTCCTTCTTTTTTAACGCTTTATGGCCAACCTCTTGCACAGCAGTATCGTCTGTTGCAAAGTTAAGGGAAGCTATGGCTCGATTTGTCCATTTTCCCTTTACCCACACATTTTACAAAATGTTCTTTTTTAAGTCAGGTTTGCGTAATGGCATGATTTTAAATACCACACCCGGCATGTTTGTGCCGGACCCCTCCACGGCCCTCTGAGGGTTGACAGAGCTGATGTGGAGCCTAAAAACAGAACCTGAAGGAGAGAACTAAGGGCGGCCTCCGAGTGCTCGGTCACAGCACCGCGGGGGAAGCGGGCACACAACGGGTGGAACGACGGCCAGCGCCGAGCCCCGCCGGGAAGAGAAGCCCTGAGAGCCCCGCGAGCCGCCCCGGGCCCCGGCGCTGCCCCAGGCCCGGCCCCGCGCCCCCGCCGCCTCCCGCTCGGCGCTATCCCGGCCCGTCCCGGCGGACACTCACATCCGCGAGGGGAAGATTTCGATGCGGTCCTTGCCCGACATGACGGCGGCGGAGCCCGGTCCGGCTGTCACGGCTGTCGCCGCTGGGGCCGCTCCGGTGTCGCCGCCGCCGTCACGTGACGCGACCCCGCCCCCGTGCGCAGGGCAGCAAACCCGGATGCCCGCGCGGTCCCGCGCGCGCCGCCGGCCGTCACGTGTCCCCCGGGAACGACGAGGAGGGGGAGCGATTGGCTGAGTCCCCCGCTCCGCCCACCGCGCGGGGGCGCTCGACGGCGCTCGGCCCGTTCCGGCTCTGCGCCGTGGCCCCGGCGGCGGCGCTTGCGCAGTGGTGCGGCGGGGTGCGGGTGCACGCGGCGGCAGGAGCGGGGCCAGCGCGGGACCCCCCGGGGCGCAGTCACAGGTACCGCCCGCGGGCACCGCACACGGGCACCGCCCGCGCCGCACCGCGGCACCGCCCGGGCGGGGACGGGACGGGACCCGCGCAGTTCAGAGCCCTGCGGGACGGGACCGGCACCGCGCCCGCGAGCCCTGCAGCCGGCGGGGCCGCGTGTCCCTCGCCTCCCGCCCGCGCCGTGCCGGCGGTGGGCACTGCCGGCCCCCTCTCCGGTGCGGCGGCCGTGGGGCAGCGCCCGAGTCGGCGGCGCTGGGCAGGGCTGGCTCCGTTCCCGCAGGGGTGGCTCGGCCGCCAGGGCCGAAGCCTCGGCCGAGGCGTGTCCGGTTTCGAGGAAAGATGATTTCCGGCGCGGTGGGCGCAGTGCTGTTCCTGGGAATCTTCCACAGAAGGCCAAAATAAAAACCTTGTGCCTGTGGAGAGAGGAGTGACTGTGACTGTGGAGAGTGCTGTGTGTGTAGGGCGGTGTTTGTCTGCTCTCGTTGTGGCCTGGGGTTGTTCCTTGCAGCGCAGCTTCCTTATGCATCCTATAAGTACCTGTAGGATTGAGCAGAGCTGCACTGAGGGGACTAGAGAAGAGAACTGGAAAGTTTTTATTTGTACCATTGGAGTTCCATATTCAACTTCCCATTATATAAAGTTATACAAAACCTTTAGAGGAGTGTTTTTATAATCCTTTGCCAGTCTGTATTTCACTTTTCTAAAAGTTAAGAATGGAAATAAGAGTGGACAGTGTTCTGAATTTTGTGGCCATCTGTATGTAGTGTATGACCTTACCATCCTACTCTGTTTTTAAACTTTTGTATAGCTAGAAAGCATTGGTACTGCTGTAAAGATCAGGACTAAAACTTCAAAATGGT